AAGAGGATACTCAAAAGACTGAGCGGAGGACACAGTCGCAGCCTCTTAAGAGCAAGCGGGACCTCAAGCCTGGCTATTGCGAGAACTGTCAGGACAAGTTCCGCGATTTTGACGAGGTGTGTAATTCCTTTTTCCCCAGGATATGCTTGTAAAAATCTAACTCTTCTAGCACATTCTATCTCGCAAACACCGGAAGTTTGCTGAAAACGACGAAAACTGGACTGAGCTTGATTCTCTCCTGTCACAAATCAAGAGGATGCCTAAGCACGCATCCGGTTCCGACGAGGAGGAAGTCTGGTAACGACCATTCATAAAATAATACGACATAAATCTTTTCAACATCGCATCATCATCATCATCTCAGGCCTTGTCATGGTCCGCAGCTCATGGACTATGTTACTGGCATCCCACGAAACAAACTTTCTATGAAGTCCATTTTGCGCATTTCGGTTCAAATTCCCACAGCACGCAGTGTATAAACATCAAAGATACCTCATGAGTTTGGTTAGCCTTGCGCTTAATGGCGGCATTACCGGACAGTTTTTCGGTTCAGGATGTCCGCGTCTTCTTTACTATCGCTTTCTCCTTTTACCTTATAAGCATGAACTGCATGCGACGGCGCAGAGCGGCATGGTTTTTGGCACAGTATCCCACGGTCTAGTCGGCCATTTCATTTGTTCTGATTGGACTGCATACATGGTAACTGATTTTTGGGGCGTTTCGTCGCGGTCCATTTCGAGAGGCATGGTTAGGACAAACGGCTGAGATGGGTTTGATGAAGGGTTGTACAAAGAGGAACCAGGGCAAGGCATTGGAGCGGAAGAATTATATCGCAAAAAGCAACAGCGACTGCTTTACGACGATGACCAGAAAGGTCTGATGTAGATATGTGTTTAGGACATGTATATGTACCTACATGTTATGTAACATGAATACTTGAACAAAGTACGGTCTTTGTGGCATGATGCACAGTGAAGGTGAGCTGCTTCAGCATAAATGTAAGTGAACCATTGGTTATTTCTGTCAGAGACAAGTGTCTTGCATGAGTTCTATCTCCTACCTATGTGGCGTTTTCAGCCTGCAGTAGTTGATTGGCAGACGCACGTTATGGAACTTTACGTATGTGTTTCTTTTGTCTCTCACCGATTTTCGGCTGAGACCACATTGAGTTTCCTCTTCTTTTCAATTCTCGTTGCTACAAGCGCAAAACTCTCTAGTGTAAGCCCACGAGGACCTCTATCACATGTTGAAGTTGGACCTGCCAAGCTTGGACAAGTCTGGACTGTGTGATACTCGGGCTCAGTTACCTAAAATCTTTGACTCCAAGGCCGCAATCGGTGCATCTCAAGTGAGAAAAGAAATCAAAAAGAGGAATTCGAGGTGAGAAATCCAAGGCCATTGGACTTAACTGGTCTTCTGACTCGAATAGGTGCTGGACGTCGCCGCTTGCTTGAGTGATTCACTCTCACTGACAACATCAGAGCTGGGAGAAACCTTGACTACGAGGCGAAATATCTTACCAGAAAAGCTTTGTGCGAACATTGAACCTTCACTCTTACTCGCTGCCAACACTCCTCAAGCTTTGTTTGCACCAACTCCAGCATATCTCATCATGAACCTCAAAACCTCGGCTCATGCCAACTCAACGCTGGATATTTGGAAACGACTACGAGACTTGAAGAACGGCAAAGAGAGGATTATTCTAGATGGGAACAATCTCGACATTGCTTCGCTTATCGCAGTCGCTCGTCATGATATCAAGCCTGAGATCAGCAAAGACGAGGAGCTCGCGCGCCGCATCGCTCTAAGTGTTGACGCACTAGCTGAGTACTTGTCACACAAATACGTAGTATATGGTGTCAATACAGGATTTGGAGGAAGTGCAGATGTTCGAACTGACCAATGGTTGGAGAACCAAATCGGCTCTCTCCAACATACACAGAGCGCCATCATCACTTCTACCGACAAGAATCCTGGGATCAACTCTGAAAGAGAGACTTCTCACGTCATGCCCCCTGAATGGGTTCGAGGAGCTATCCTTACTCGGGCGAACCAGAACATGCGTGGACAAAGTGCTGTTCGGCTGGAAGTATTGGAGAGGTTGATCAAACTGCTTCACCACGATATTACCCCTATGGTTCCTATTCGAGGTACTATTTCAGCGTCTGGAGATCTCATGCCTTTATCTTACATCGCTGGGGCGGTCACTGGAAACCCTGATGTTTTCGTTCAAGTGGGCAGAGGGTCTTCAGCCAAGGTGATGCCTTCAGATGAAGCTCTACGGACTGGCGGTCTCTCACCAAGTGGTCTTGGGCCGAAAGAAGCTCTCGGTCTTATCAATGGAACTGCTCCATCTGTATCTGTTGCCAGCCTGGTCCTCCATGACGCCCAACAGCTGGCTGTGCTTGCTCAGGTATTGACAGCATTCGCATCCGAGGCCATGGGTGGCAACGTTGAGTGGACAACTCCTTTTATCCATGCCGTACGACCGCACCCTGGCCAGATTGAGGCTGCTGCAAACATAAGAAGCTTTCTGAAAGGTTCGGGATTCGTCGTCGGACTAAACGAACGCAAGAGAACTGGTGAAGGCCTTTGGCAAGATCGATATTCTACTCGCACAAGTCCCCAATGGATTGGTCCTTATCTAGAGGACTTACTTCTGGCTCAGAGACAGATCTCCGTGGAATTAAATTCGACATCCGACAACCCCTTAATTGACGCATCAGAGAAGGATGGAAAAGTGGCTGGCGATGTGTATTCAGGAGGGAACTTCCAGGCTGTTGTTGTGACTTCCGCCATGGACAAGACACGACTTGCTCTTCAGATGATTGGACGCATGCTCTTCTCTCAGGTCAGCGAGATGATCAACCCCTCGACCAACAATGGCCTTGAAGCCAATCTCAATATTAGCGACAAGGAGAATTTCACCATGAAGGGCATCGATGTAAACATGTCGGCATACATGTCCGAGTTAGCTGCCCTCGCTCACCCGGTCTCGTCTCACGTCACGTCGGCTGAGATGCATAACCAGAGCATCAATTCACTTGCTCTGCTTTCAGCTCGACGAACCATGGAGGCTGCTGATCTTGTTGCTCATATGTGTGCTTGTCACATTTATGTTTCATGCCAAGCAGTCGAGCTTCGGGCTACACATCGGCTTTTCCTGGACACACTCCGCGAAAAAGTACTTCTCAACAAAACGGAGGATGGACCTTTCCACGCTTTTGGCCTCGGTGATGCCGCTATCGAGAGAATCAGTGAGGCTGTTTTCGCTGTCGTCGAACGGGAGTGGTTTGACCACAATATCGGTTGCTGGAAAGATCGTATTGTACCCACCGTCGATGCTGTAATGGCACCCGTTACGCAATTCCTGACTTCCGAGAAGATCGATTGTCCGATATCCAGTCTTGCAGTGTTCCGTGGCCAGTTCCACAAAGCGATCGTAGACACAGCTTCCTCCATATTCTATCCTAACATGGCACTACGCTCTGTCGACGTGGCTACCAAACTAGGCGATGGAACCGCTCCATTATATACTTGGGTTCGATCCAAGTTGGAAGTCCCGACACAATGTGGTCTAGATGATGATCCTCTATACAACGTACACAAAGGCCTTCCAACTGAGGGTAAGAAGACTATTGGTAGCTGGGTGAGCAAGGTTTATGAGAGCGTCAGGGGTAACATGATGGATGCTATCATGGGGAGCATCGAGACTGAACGTTCAGCACCCCGGACAGTTGAGGAGTATGAGAAGCTTTGTCAGGATCTGAGACAGATTGAATAGGGGACCACCAAAAAGAAAACTGAATTCAAGAGGACCATTAGGTACAAGGAAAACTCCGCTCCGGAATGGCTGACTGAAAAGATGTAACATAGCGGCTTCGGATGTACGTAGCTTAGACAATACACTCTCAGCTCATCATTGCTAATCTAATGTGGTATACGATGGAATTAAAACCGAACAGAGTTTGTATCTTGTTTGTAAGAACAAACAAAATAGAAAGAAAAGAGAGAGAGATTGTGTTTGTGTCAGGGTAATGAAGCACCCGCAGCGTTTGATTGAGGTGTCATGATGAGGCTTAACTACATGCCAGTATCATGCACAGTGCTTTAAAAGCAACACTGTGCTGTCATAAGCAACCTCCACTTACATTAGGCGACAGTTTCACAACTGAGTTACTTACAAACGGCTGCATACCTTGACTTTCAACACCAACAAATTTCAACATTCACGCACCGAGTCGAGAATTCCCCACTGTCAGAGGGATAAATTCTTCAAAATGTCAGACAACCCACCACCAGAATGGGTGCCCTCGCCATCTGCATCACCCTCCAACGCCTCACCTATGCCCCTCGCCGATAATGAAGAAGCAGGCAGCGGCGCTGCGTCTCCAAACTTACCACTTACTATGTCCGCCTCAGTGGTGCTGGCAGATCTACCACGGGATGCGAGCGCCGCACTTGCGACTGCTGGAACCTTCAAGGCAGACAAGGTTGTGGTGCGGTTTAAACCTGTGGGGTCCGCTCCGTCGTTGGCGCAAGACGTGTGCAAGATCAGTGCGACGAGACGTTTTGAAGAGGTTGTGAGATATCTCAGAAAGAAGTTGAGGTGCAAAGAGACAGACAGTGTCTTCTTGTACGTCAACAGTGCCTTTGCGCCGTCTTTGGACGAGGTTGTAGGCAACCTACATCAGGTGAGTCTTGTAGCCTATCCCAAGGCCTATGATGGATTACCAGGCTGTGAAGTTACGGAAACTGATATATCTAGTGCTTCAAAAACGCCCAGGGTCAACTTGTAGTGGCCTACTCACTGACGCCTGCTTTTGGATGATGCTAACAAGGCTGAATTCTTCTATCTGGATATACAAAAGGCTATGACTTCTACTCAACCCAAACTCCGAGCTATGCGACCTCTATGATTGCGCTACGACACACGAATTCGACAAGCTTGCCTCTCCAAAACCTCATGCAGCTACTTCTGGGGTATCATCGCCTCATCTCTAAGAATCCTTCACCGCCTTAGTAAAGCTCTCAAACTCCTCCGCCGAAATGGGGTATGTGTGCTCAGGAGCAGGGTATTGGCGCGACTTGACTTCATCCCGATACGCCTCGATGGCCCTCAAGCTCTCACCCCAGACATCACCGTATTTCTTGACAAACTTGGGAAGGAATCGACCAGGAGGGAAATTTCCAATCATATCGACTTGTACCAGAACTTGGCCCGAGGTACCGTTGCCGGCGCCAATACCGATAGTGGGAACGGAGAGCTTTTCAGTGATGAGCGCGGCCACCTCGGCAGGAACTGCCTCAACAACCATGGCGAAGCAACCAGCTTCCTGAAGAGCAAGGGCGTCTTCAAGAATGCTCATTGCACCACTACTTGTCTTGCCCTGGACACGGAAGCCACCAAGTGCATTTTGTCGTTGAGGGGTCAAACCAATGTGGCCAAGGACAGGAATGCCAGCGGTGGTAATCTTCTTGATAGTAGGGGCCGTCTCCTTGCCACCTTCAAGCTTGACACCTTGGACGCGGCCTTCCTTGATGAAACGGATAGCAGTAGCAAGAGCCTGGTCAGGACTAATCTCATACGTGCCCATGGGTAGATCTCCAACCTACTGGGATTAGTTTATTACTTGCATATGAAAAGACAGGGGTCTTACAGTGAAAGCCGACTTTGTCGCCCTCGCAACAGACCGACAATGTAAAAGCATCTCTTCCAAGATAATCTCACTCGTATCCTCCATACCAAGTGCTACCATGGCGAGACTGTCTCCCACAAGGATGATGTCCATACCAGCATGGTCAGCGACATGACCACTGGGAAAGTCATGAGCTGTCATGACTGTGATGGGATCACCCTTGCGGTGCATGGAACGAAGAGTTCCGACAGTGACCTTTTTACGTTGAACGGCCGGAGGTGCACCCATGGGAGAGTGAGAGCTGTACCGGGTTTGCGCCGCACCTCCGATGATGAGGGGCCGAACGGCTCGGCCGAGGGTCCGGGATGCCGGCCGAGTGGATGGGACGGACACCCGGGATAGGAGAGAGGCACATGACCTCATGGTAGGATTGATAAGAGATGACATGAGGAAGGGCAGGAGATAGGAGTAAAGGGAAGTGCTAGTGGAGTGGGTTGAGGTGAAGATAAGGTGTCGCGTGCTTTGTCGAGTTGGGAGTGACAGAAACTTGAGGTACTTGCAGGCAGATCTCAGACCGACAGAGACAGTGGCTCAAGAAGTCTATGGTGATCCTTTTTGAAAGGGGAAAAATTATGAAAGAAGTATCTTGACTAATGCTGTTTCGTTTATGACAGTTAGAATTGCGATCCAGTGAGAAAGTCGGGGAAAGCAAAGGTTTTATTCATGTCTGAACCATGATGAACCCTACGTTGTATATTTGAGTATCTTGGTGTTTTTTCTCAGCACCCCTGGTCTGCGCCCCACGCAGTAACTTTTTGGGGTTCTGGAAGTGAAATTTAATTTAGGCTAGTCCTTTCAGGGCATGCGAATGGCCGAATGACCGAAGATCCGTTGATGTTGAGCCGCCATTTCATTACATGTATATCCTGGGCTACTGAATTATACCCCGAATTATACTGGAATACAATTACTAACTCCAAATACTGATGCCACGCAAAGTTGCAAAAAGTCCTCGAATGTATTCGGAAGCCGAGGTTGTTACTGAATGTGCCGAGATGGAGGTGTAGTGGGGGAAGTGTAACGGCTTTGGTTGAGGCTGCCTGGGTACTTGTACCGAGGATTTGGAAATGGAGGGGGTCTCATGAAGTTGTGATGAAAGTATCTAGATCCGAATACGCATGCGAGAACCGAGGGACATGGCATCCACAATAAGTAATAGCCCGGCAAGTATCTGTATCTGTATGTATATCTTGTCATATAGGTAATGTTTTCCTAACCGCAGCGACTTTATATGCAGCCGCTTTATGATTATTCCTAGGTTACCGCCGCGATAATGGTTCCGGCTGGTCTTACAACTCTATTTGGCTTGTGTCGCTACGTATATGCATCGAGATGTAGGTGTTCATTTGCTGATGCTGATCTACCATCGCAATTCGCTTTATCACGGATATACTCACTTAAATATGAACTAGGTAACCCCAATTAACAATATCCAAGGTTTATGAACACAAGTACTTGTGAAAGGTCAGAGAAACTGACTGTCAAACAGAGACTTGGCATCTGATAATTGCACACAAGAAATAAGCTCGAAGCTCAACTCAGAATGTGTCACCTTTATTGGCATTGAGTCCTCTAAAACCTGATTCAAAGAAAAAGGATGACTCAAGTGAGCTGCATTGTTTCAGTCTAGATTCGTTGTTTCATGCTGCATCATGCTCGTGACGTGCTACGTCGATCTCCCCATTGCGGCAGCTTAGTGCCTTATCGATAACACTAACACCCTGAGGGAGCAGCCGGCACCTGCCGTGTTGCGTTTGCAGCGGCTTATCACGCTCGTACACATCATATCCTCGTGACTTGGCACCCCCGGGAAGGACATTACCTTGCGCTTGCTTGACTCAACTTCATCTTCGCCTGCCTCTAGTAATACTTTAGCTACTCCCAACCAACATCTTTTCAACTGCAGACTGTTTCACATACACACACAACCTTCAATTCTTCTGCCTCTTCTTAACGTCTTCATCGAGTATCGCCTATCGTGCCGGCCCCGGAGCTCTTTGGATACCTTCATAACCCCACATTCGAAAACAACATCAACCGCCATCATGAGTAGCCCACGCCGCAGAATCGAGACTGATGTGAGTACTACCGTCTTTCCAAACGGCGATGGGAATGTGGCTAACACTAATCGTCAAAAAGGTCATGAAGTGCGTTGTCGTCTCTCTGCCTTCTCGCTTGTTGTATTGCTAACATGATTACAGGATGTATGGAACTCAAAATAAGCTACCGTTTCTATGATGACACTGACACCCATAGGCTTATGAGTGACTACGAAGTTACACTTGTCAATGACAACAGTAAGACTTTGCTCTAAAACCAATGTTGACTTTGCTAACATGAACCAGTGTAAGCTTTCAATTCCACTTTCACCGACTCCGATCTATTTCCTGACCGATCCTCTTAGGCAAGAGTTCTTTGTTCGCTTCAAAGGACCAGCTGAGAGTATGTTTACCGAACTACACCGTCCGAACGATAACTGACATTACGAAGCTCCATTTGAGGGCGGAATGTGGAAAGTTCATGTCGAGCTTCCCGACACCTACCCTTACAAGTCTCCCAGCATTGGCTTTGTCAACCGTATCTTTCACCCTAACATCGACGAGCTGTACGAAACCCATACCTCTGTCTGATTTGAACTATGGCTAATGGTTCAGGTCCGGTTCGGTCTGTCTCGATGTTATCAACCAGACTTGGTCGCCCATGTTCGATATGATCAACATTTTTGAGGTTTTCCTTCCTCAACTCCTGCGGTACCCCAACCCTACCGACCCCCTCAACGGCGAGGCAGCGGCCTTATTGATTCGAGAACCAAAGAGTTATGATGCCAAGGTCAAAGGTGCGTGCGCATGGGTCCTTGAATCAGACATAATACTCATGACAGCAGAATACGTCCAGAAATATGCCTCTAAGGATGCAGCAGACGAAGCCGGAGCCGAAAGTGAAGACGACGACGAACTCTCCTCAGTGGCCAGTTTCGGAGATGACGATGAAGAGCCTGCGGGACAGATGGACGATGTATAAGCCCTTCTACGAGCGCATTAACTTGGGCGAGCGTTTCGATTCACATATGGCGTCATGGGACCGAGGCACGGATTTAGGACTATCATTGGACGGAGTTGCAGTAACCTCGCGCAGGCTTGGACTCGGATCGAATTTGTTTATTGGCATTAGTTTGACATGTTGCACACAAGGCTTCGCTTGTGCTCATCGGAGGGCAGTTGAACGAAACAGCCGCAACTGGATGCCATAATTGCTGGTGATGGGCCTGGACGTCAGGACCTCGAAGGTCGTTTGGACATGATGGTTGTCCTTTCGTTCTCTGCCAACGATGCACAGCAGAAGGACAGGACTTTGAATATTGAATCAATAAATTGGGCTGAGCCCGGGTATCATATCTATAATTATTCTAAAGAGCCAGCGCCAATAGTAAAATGCTTAATCTGAGTCGTAGTCAACCAGGCCTGCTGGCGAAGCGGGCACCTGCGCCTTGGGTGGTGGCTCCAAGCTCCGCGACTCCTCTTCTTGTGGTGATCTCTTCCGCTTCACGCCTGGCAGTCTGGCCGGTCCTTTCGTCCCATGTCGTTTATCGATTCGTTTATCGATCAGGAAAGGATCCTTGGAAGCCCGAGTGTTGCCCATAAGTTCCGACACCAACGCGTCTTTACGTTTTGAAGCCTGCTTGTCAGCCTTTAACTTGCTTACACCTTTCGGGTCCAATGTTGTCTTGCTCCCTTCGGATTGAAATAAGGGTTTAGACAATGCCCGATCTCTTCCATCATCAACCACAGGCCCAAAGTCGACAAGAGCCGCACGGCGAGCATCTTCCTCTGTCCCGGGAACAATGTCTATGCCAAGACTCATGCGATCTTGAAGAGCCTCGGTAGCCGCAGCGTTGCGCTCTCGCTCTTTGCGCCCTGCTCTAAATGCCTTCCGTAGCTTCTGATTCTGCGTATATGGATCATCCCAATGTTTCGCAGACGCCTCCATGAGATCGTCTATCCGTAGTGTCGCACGCTTCAGCTGCTCCCTATCCTCAATAGTCTTTTCCAAACTAGAGAATGCATTCTTTCTTAACGCCTCCCTCTCCTGATCCGTCATGATCACCGCGTCTCCTTCGCGCTGTACATCTTCCCCTGTATCCCGTTTCGCACCGCCCTCCGTGACAACATACGCCGTGTTCTTGGGATCCGTGCGAATCTCAATCTCGCCTCCGCAATCCGCATGACGAAACTTGAAACTCCAAATCGGCGTTGAGAAATAGCTCCCCACACGGCGCTTCGCTGCGTTGAAGCGAACGCCTTGGCCGATTATCGTGGGCTTGGGACAGGTGTTGCACCAGACGGCGTAGGGAAGCTCGAAGCGGACGGTGAGGGAGCCGGGTTTCGAGGCGCGTGCGCCAAGGGGGTGCTTGTTGTGAAGACGGTTGCCGGATGTGGTGCCTTCTACGTCTGGCGGAACGTAGCGGCCCATGTTGAAGCCCTGCATTTTGGCGGTGGTTTTGAGGCTCGTGGCCTTTGGCTGGTGGAGGGAGGAAGATTTGATGCTGAAAGAGATGGATAATGGAGGGGTGATGTTATAGTGGTAGGTACGTCACCTTTCAGTGGGGGTTGTGTTTTGGTGTAAGTCCAGTGGTGTCACGTATCACTAGAGGTAGGTTGTCTGTCAAAAGTTCTAACTTGAGTGAAAACGGAAGAAAGAGTCCAATATTGAGGGATACAGAAAGGCTGTGCTCAAATAGAGATACATTTTTGAAGCCTTGAGCATGGTTCAAAGACTAAATATTGTCTAAGTGTACTATAAGTGTGAATCTTGTTAATAGAAGTCAATGATAAATCTTCAAACACCTATAGCATCTTATAGAATGCCAGAAGAATAAAGTTACATATTTGGTACGTAAAGAACGCCTGGTTTAGCTTAATATTAGAATACCATCATAATAAATTCTTCATGTTGTACTATGTCCCTACTACCCACATGGGATCATCTGCTCGCCATCTCTGTTTTACACTGGAACCAGTCAAGACAACAGAGCCTCCTGGCCTTTTCCTCTCCTGTATTGTATAAAGACAAAGCGACTGGCCAGGATATTACTTCTTGTCCGTCTCAAGCTTGCCAATAACAGGCTCCAAGAGTATAGGAAGATACTCTGCAGCATCCTTGCCAAACGCAAAATCACCAGGCTTGACCTTGTACATTTCCTCCTCATTCTCGGCCTCGGGGTTGATAACCGCAATACGTGCGCCTTTGCGTCTGGCTTTATCGATGTAGCCCGCAGCAGGGTAGACTTGGGCCGAAGTTCCAATGACGAGCATCAAATCCTATAATAATTAGTCGCCTTTCTAAAGATTGCTCAGCGCGGGTTTCAACTCACCACCTTGTCCTTGAGAAGCCAGTTTGTGATACCCATCATCATAACGTCGTCCAGATTCTCACCAAACCACACAACACCAGGTCTTTGAAAGCCTGTCTTGCACTGAGGACACTTCGGAATGTCATCTGGTGAGATTGGGTCCAGAGGTTGAGAGGCGTCAAGGAGAGGAAATGGTTTTCCTGGCTCTACATCGACTGAAGCTGGTGCGAGGGCGGGACAGAATGGATCATCATAGTTGCCTCGTTGGATCCAATCGCAGTTGGTGCACTTGATGTCGAAGAGGGAGCCATGTAGAGTACGGAGTTGATCCTGTGGATGGCCCGCTTGTTGAGAAAGATCTGAGGTTATCAGTAACTATGATATAATACAAAAGGAAAAATCCATACTGTCGACATTTTGTGTCAGACACAAAAAGTCCTTGTTCTTTTCAGCCAATGCTGCAAGAGCATAATGCGCTGGATTCGGTTCCGAGCGCAAGCACATATGACGTCTATAATTATAGAACAACCACACAAGACCCGGATCATTCTTGAAAGCGCTCATGGTAGCTAAAGACGTAGCATCGTGATTCCGCCAAAGACCGCCAGCGCCTCGAAAAGTAGGTAGGCCAGATGAGGCTGAGAGACCAGCTCCACAGAGCGCGAGGATGCGCTTACTGGAGCGGAGAGCTTCGTGAAAGGCGCCTACGTCGTTATGAGGAGCCATTGCGGTGAAGAGACGAAAATTAGAAGTTACTGCTTTTGAAGAGAATATGGAAGAGAGACGTGGTGTTGGTCTGAGAAGTCTCATGATATGGTGGTTGTGGATAAGCTTAAATGTTGGAGGGGAGTTGAGTATGGCTGCAAGGATTATCTGTAGGTTGCGTCACTCGCCGAAAGATATGATTGGATCGTGGAGTAGGCAACGAAGATGGATTCTGCCTGTGGCTCAACCTTGTTTAAAGATATATCATTGCCATGAAATATCGAATGCTTGCTGGTGTTGCCTATCATGAGGTGTCCTGATTGGCTCCTTTGACTAGGTTGCTATTCACCGGTTGCATCATGTCTCAACCAAGACAGACTACAGTTGACTTTATACCTGAGCCTTGCACATGTAATGTTGATATATATATGAAATATTTCTTTGTTTTGTTCGGCTTCATTCTTATACAGTGACTACTTAACTAAATGTTACCAGTTCATCCTCTACTAATATATGGAACAGCCGAGGTGAGCCCATGCGAGAGTCACCCAAGACTTATGGCGAACACTAGACAATACTATGGCCTTGGTAATTCCGGGCTATATATATAATTCTGTCCAAAATGGTTATTGCCCATTTTCGACTCACTCTTGATCTCCCCACGGGTCTGTCGTTAGCATATAGCCTGTATAAGGAGGATGCACAAAGACAAGCAAGGGACCGAGGGCCAACTTGAAGCTCGAGTAAGAGTCTTAACCTCTGTTTAGACTTCCGAGACCTTTCAGAAATAAAGTAGAACTACCAAGGCATGCATAGACAGAAAATGAGCCCATGCGGGTGATACCTCGTACATCCAAGCCGCCTAGGTAGGCCACTCAGCTCTCTCCTTAACACCACTACTACATACAAGACGTATCTTACTTGCGAATACATGCAGAAGCAAGTTATAATATGCGTGTCAAGTGCATTATTGTGACCATCTTATGGCTGGTTGTAAACTGGTTCGCCAGGAGGCAATGGCGTCTCGAGAAACCTGGTAAGGAGACATCATATCCAACATGGCAGATCAATTATAAACACTCGTCCAAATCTCTCAGCGGAGGAAATTATCACCATATCTATAATTCATAACTTCCAAACCCTGTTTCATAGTGATCCTCAGATCAGTTTGATCGGTAACAACTACTTTCTTTGCGGTCCACATGGACGTAATCTAAGGCAAGAAATTACCTATCGATCAAAGAATTTCTGTTCGCCCAGTACTACAACGAGAGAACCGAACTGTTCGCATGGTGTAAGATATCTCTGTGACTGGTATCATCACCAGCTAACTCACACTTCAAAGCTTGATCTCTGTGCAGCTACAGTGGCCTTGACAGAGCCATCGACTCTCTCGACGGCGACACCCCCGAGTTTGTGTCACTCGGGAGTGATGGGTATTAATTTGTGCGCACCAGAAGGGCCCACACCTTCTGGGATCTCCTAGACGCGGCCTATCAGTTTGTCGAGAACGCAGACCTAGATGACGATAGTGTCAAGTATGTGTGGTTGGGAATCCAAGGCATTCATGGCCCAGAAGGAATCTGGACACAGAAAATGGAACCTTCATGGCAATCATGGGGGTTTAGAACAGTCTATCAGGACCATGCCTAGTACCCAGACCCAGGGTTTGAACCTTGAGAATGATCGGTCGTATTTTGTGGTGTTTGAAGATGGATCGGTTATGTGCAATCCTGTCGGTACGAACTTGACTAAGGATAAATTCAGAGCATTTGATAGACGAGCATAAGTCGAGTAGAAGATTGCCACCTTGGTCCTCGAAATTTGGGTTGATGTTGGATCATATGTGTAAGCCACTTTGCCTTTTACACCATTCAGGGGCAGCGCACTCTACGAGCTAATTCTCGGGTGAATAGCTTCATGGAGACATCGAAAACAGTCGCACATGCATTAGAAGCTATTGGCCAAAGTGAATGCAGGCAGTATGTGTACTTAGCCCTGATAACAACCTAATGAAACTCGATAAGCTTGACGGCGCGGGCGTCTCCTTTATGAATCATCGCCGAGGACAGGAGAAAGCCATTAATGGTAACATACCTAGGTAAAAGGTATGAGTTACATAATAAAAGCGTGAACCTAGAAACTTTGATCTTCATTATCTACACAGCTGATTGCTGTCTAGAACGCTAAACTTGAGGCTGCTAATAGAATAACCAGCATATGGTTTTCAAATTTATCTCCATAACTCAAGCTTTATATCATCACGGTCTCGCTAACAAGCTTTCTGCACATAGACTTAATCCTTTTGATACTGTTAAGACAGTTTATCTATAAATACTCTAGCTCAGCCATCATGTCGCCCTCTTCAGGTTCATTCCCACCACTTGTCTTTGCGCTGCCCGACTTCCCTTATTTACCTACATTATTCTATCAACTAGAGACTGTCCACATTGTAAATCTGCTGCGGCTAAGAGTACGACCTAGCGTGAGAGTTATTCCTTCCCATGAATTTTCAAGGGACGTCGAGAGCGCACCGTACCCAGCAGAGGTCCGAGCCTGGCGAACCTGTGAATATGGCCGAGCCTCTCATCACTGAAGGAGAAGCAGAAGGATACTACTGCGGACTTCGCAGCCACCCAAAACTTGTTGCCAGGTCTGGCATAGAAGACAAGCCTTGGAGCGCTCGTTATGAGGGCGGCTGGACCGTGCAGAAGACGATCGATCCCATTGGGAACCACGCAATTGTTCCTCTCTGGAACAAAGCGGACAGCGACCTGCGGACGGGTATTATAGCTACACTGAAAGACCTCAACTGGACGGCGATCAACATCCTTCGACTGGGATATGCCAGATGTCTCAACACTTTGGATGGGCCAGATGATATGCTCCCCAAGCTCCTTATCTCCGTCCAGCCTGAGTCTACTTCTTTGCAGTCTGGCTACAAGGCCACAATGCAATGTCGACAGGTCCTTCGGGAACACGGAATTAAAGATGTTGAAGTTGAAATGATGGAAGCTTGGGTTTCGAGGTGCAACTCTCCTCGGCTAACTTCTCAGCCCATCACAGAGCAGATTCAAGAGACTGCACAACTTTCTGAGTTCCTCGGCGCTTCTATTGCAAGTAAAGCTTCTCCTACATGTGAAGGCACGAAGGGATTCTACGTGCGCCTGAAAGACACGGACAAACTGTTTGCTGTTACCTGCCGTCATGCGTTACTCGATACCTTCCCCAATGTCGATTATCACCACTCAGGCGATGCTCCAAACATGGTGATTCAGCCAGGACAAGGAAAAAACAAAGATATGGTTGGATCTTTGGCATCTTTTATCAAAATGCTTGAAGAGTGCTTCGATACGCTTACCCCAGCTGAGGTGGAGGAGTTGAGAATCCTGCGAGGCTTGAAGGCAAACTACGATCAGATTTACGACTTGGAATCCCGTATTATTGGTCACGTCTTGTTCTCCCCCGAGTGTAGTCCCAGTACTTCTACGCCAAACGTCACTTGGATCAGGGATTGGGCGTTAGTTGAACTACACCCAGACAGGCACAAAACGGCGTTGAGCGAGCTTAAGAACAGAGTCGTGGCAGGCCCTCGCGCCAACGGACAGCTTTTTCAGGCCCTCTTTCATGAACTCAGCGCTGATCACCTAACACACTTTGAGGGTCGGTTCGTCGATTATCCCACGAACACCTATGAGCTCACTAGACCTGTAGCGCAAAAACGTGAGGTAAGACAACCATTTGAAGCAGCTCGAAATCAGAAAAATGAGCCCCCTATGGTAGTAGCAAAGTTTGGTCCAACTACAGGTCTTACCTTTGGTGTCGCAAATGAGGCCAAGTCAATTCTTCGAAAGATATTAGCAGGAGAGACGGTTGTGTCTGATGAATGGTGTATCGTTGGACAAAAGAAGAAAGGCTTATGCCGGGATGTCTTCTCTTCAAAAGGAGACTCTGGAGCGTGCATCCTAGACATGTATGGTCAGGTTGCTGGCATGCTAACGTCGGTAATGGAGGCCCAGAATGAGGATGCCTTTGATATCACCTATGCTACTCCAATTGAGTGGTTGCTGAAGGACATTCGGAGCTACGGGTTGGAGGTTACGCTGGCATAAGGTTAGATGGATATACATCCAAGTGTTTCCACTGAGAGGAAGAAACTGAGTATAAGCTACATGATCTACGAAGCTCTCGGCAACATTTATCCAATAATACAAGACATGATGCCTGACACTATCTGGCGACTTCTCCGCTACAAGTTCATGAGTCCTGAAGAGGTTTCTACTTTGGGTCGTGGACTTGTATTGGCTCTTGAGTTACAAAACCAACATCGATGTAAGGATCACATCAACCTCAAGATGCAACTGGCAGATGCAGGGGAGCAAGTAGGACGGTAGAAGAGATCAAAGATGTTGAGCACAGGAGCGAGAGGATAATGCCATCGCTGTGTATACTATTATCAAGGATTGATGAAGCGAAAAGGGGGGCAGAGGGTGTCATCGAATCGGTACTGAGATCTGTGATACGAGCATGGATATATTACGGTCTGGCTGGACTTGAAACTCGTTGGATTTCTACTGCAAAGTTCTCAAGCGTGCTGGGAGGGTTGGAGCCCGGCTAGGAGAGTGATTCAAGATCGTGACTTGGTAATTGAGAAGTTGTGTGACAAGCTGGAGGATTTTGGCGTTACAGTTTCGGACTGAGAGAGAGGGAGTTTGATAGATGTCAACCGACTCTATGCTATCGTAAGGTGGAGGACATTAATAGAATCCATATGAAAAGGCAGAGCCACTTCAAGTCTTTTCCAGATGAGAATGACTTCAAGTCCGTTGACCAATAAAGGCTTCGGTGTCGTACACCGACCTTTTCTATGGTATAATTGACAACGAGCAAACAATTCTTGGTGCCGAATAGTATGACAGAAGAGTGCTGCGAGTCACAGACTAGGCAAACGGGTCGATGTTGTTAGTGGTTTCAGTTTCAGTCTATTCTAAAGTTATCTCAACTGAAGCAGTCAGAAACTACGGAGTACGTGCTAACTAATAGAACTGCTGAGAGCGTACGGATATAACAAGCGACCAACAAGGGGCGGCTCTTCGCTTCTATTCTATCGCATTTAAGCATGGCCTGCTAGACAGTCGAAGCGAGAATCCCTCAACCCAAAGCAGAAATATCCGAACATGGGATCACGGATGGAAATGAGCCCACCCACTCTAAAAACCAGACATTATAGCGCGATTCCAGTAAAACCAGGCCTACAATTCGCTGTTGATCCCTAATTCCCGGCATCTCAGGGCCGAGTCGGCCGCTGTTTCGCTTGGCGATGGGACCGAGCTGGTGATTAACTGATTAACGCCGGGAATAGGTCACTAGCCTTGTAGGGCCAGAGCCTGAGGTGCCCGGGTGCTTTAAAAGGGTTGTCTCACCCCTTTGAACAGAAAAGAAAGAGAAGAGAGGGAGAGTAGAGTATTCATTCGTTAATCACAGTCACTCGTTAAGACTCAACTACCTGATAATTCAATTCTATACACTCGTTAATCATGGCCGCCAAGTTCCTCGCCGTGGCTCTTGTCGCCGCTGTCCCAGCCCTGGCTAAGACCGATCTTGCAGGATGCACCAGCTACGACACGGTTCTCAGCAACGCCAATGGAATGTACGCGTCTCGAATTTGGTACGTCCCTGACACGGGCGAGCTGTGCGACTTTCTCGACTGTGGCGGCGGCCGAGCTCCCCCCAAGACCACTGTTCCCGGATGCCCTGGCTACGTCGGTACTGCTACCTACTCTCCTCTCTTTATCAACCCCAAGACTCTCGGTGGTGCCGTTCCTGAAGAGACTGGTGATTCCCCTACGAGCACCGAGGAGGATGTGAGCGAGTCTGCTACGATTACTGCTGCGCCTACTACCGAGACTGAGGAGAGTGCTTCAGCCACCGAGGCTGAGACCGAGACCGAGTCTGAGTCTAAGAGCAAGGATGATGAGAATACTTCGACCGATAAGGCCAAGGATACAAAGACCATCACCACTCTTGCTACTCACGCAACTCCCTCCGCTTCTTCCGGAGCCGAGGCCGGTTCCGCTTCTGCCTCCGGATCCGATTCTCACTCCGCTGCGCACTCCGACTCCAGCTCCGAGACCGACGCCGCTGTTACCCCGGCCTCTACCGTTTCCACCGCCGGTGCCGTCATGCCCACAGCCGGAGCCTTCCTCGCTCTCGCCGGCGCTGCCATGTACGCCGGAATGCTCTAGATATATACACAAAACTTGGTCTTGTAGAAAATATAGTACATCTCGGATATGCTTGCCTATTTATACACTCCACCCTCCCTCGGCCGCCTTTACCCATCTATAACCTATTCCGCCTGCCCTCAAATTCCGCCGACCTCCCGTGACGGGCGTAGTCACCCTCCCCCCGCCTCCGCCGTAGATCCCGGGGTTCCACCACGACGAGCAATAGGGCGTTGAAGCTGATAGGTCCACCAACCAATGCGCGGTGTAAATGACAAGATTTAGTATTCAATGGGCGTCTTAGCCTTACGTGAACAATGTAGATACAGATACGTTCGATCTGTGCCTTGCTTTGTGAGATGCATATAAGATGTCAGCAAATCATGGCACAGAGCCATGATTTCATAGTAGTTCGTAGAGCTAACTGTTCATTCACAAGCATCGAAAACTTGATCAGCAAGAACTTGACTGTGTTTGTTCTACCCCGGATTCTTTGTCGTCCCTCCACAAGCCTCGAATCTTATCTACCCGTCACCACATGACCTTTTGTTGAACCAACCGTTTCTCTACGAGTCAAACATCGTTGACTAAACTCACGATCACACGCCCTGATTTCCCCGCCAAGGAAGCCGCCGCTAGCCGTACACCCTTTGTGCTGACGACTACATCATTGTCAC